TGTAATATCCCAAATTTTTGGGAATATTTAAGTGTAAGTTAGGGACTTGATTGTGAGAAAAGATTGTTTTGGGGCCTAATGTGAATATTCTGAAAGTTGAGGGATTTAAAGAGGGAAAATAATTGGATAAGGATTAGTTTCTTTTCTTTTTCTTTTTCCTTCTTTTCTTCCCCAGCCATTTCCCGATTCTGCTCTTCTTCTTCTCGCTGCAGCCCCCAAAATGTCCCCTCCAAGCCGCCGGCACCAGCTTTGAGAAAATTGGTGAGAAAGCTTCGAATTTCTCCTTCTTTTCTTATTCTAGAACCTGATTTGGAACCCAGAAATCTCCTCCCCTGCAGGAAGCTTTCGGATCTGCTTTGCTCTTCCCTCTGCTGTCCGCCGGCTGCTCTTGTTTGTGGGGGCGAATTGCTTGGGTTTTGGGTAAGAAACAGCTACCAATCCCTCTGTTCTTGCTTGAATTAACTTGGGTTAACCTTAATTGCTCTTGTTCCTCCAATTTTTGGGAAACCCGTGAGTTCCCTGCAGATTTGCCGCCGGCTTCTTCTTCCCCCTGCAGCTCCGGTTTTAGCTGGAAAATTCTGGTATGTTACAGCCTTTTAAGGCTTAAATTGTCCATTTAGTTTGCTGCCTTGTGTGTCCGTGAATTGCTAGAAAATTGGGGATAATTCCGGTAGCTTTAGGACCATGATTAAGCATTAATTCAAGTGGAATTTATATGATTGAGTGTTAATGGACTGCTATGTGATTTTTGGAGAAAATCCCGTGAATTAGCTAGTGTTTGGCCAATTTTTGGAAGTGGGAGTTACTGTTCACGGGTACTGTTCACGGTACTGTTCACACCCCGAGGGCCAACATTTAATAGGGATTTAAGTGATTAGTTTGTGATATAAGAACGAATTTGGAGATATTTGATCATGGGGAAAGTGATAGAAATAGCATTGTGATTAGGAATGATCCTAATGATGATTTCAGCTTGAATTTGTGATAGTGGTATTCATTCTTGGAATATTTTGATTAGGTTAAATTAAGTACTTGGAGATTTTGTGATACCAGATTTAGTGGTATCAGAGCTTAGGTTTGATTAAGATTTAGTGGTATCAGAGCTTAGGTTAATCAGTTAGTACATGACTTGAGTGCTCGGTTTTATGGAGTGAATTCTCAGTTTTATGCGAGTGAGGTAAGTAATTTATGGTAATGCCCGTACTGTTTTAAAAGCATGTTTTGATTTGTTTTTGAAGTGGTGGCGGGACTAAACCCGTTTTACACGAGCATGACTGATTTGAAGTGAAATGTTTTATGC